TCCAGATTCCTAATCCATGCAAAATGAGCATTGTTTTTTTCACTCACTAGTCATGAAATTCTCTAAAAATCACTAGAAAATTACTTTTGTGCGTTTAAAATAATTCTAAAATTTTCACTCGCAGAGTATACTGATGAACGGGACCGCAACTACTGATAGGCGTATCGTACATTAGTATTGGTGTGATAAATCACCTATTTTGACAGCGTTGCCAGAATCTGCTATGTGGAAGAAGCCATCAAATTCTGGGAGAACATTATCTGTGCTCTAATATATTGATAAAATTAATGTTACAATATCACTTTTTATGTTACAATAGCAGAACATGTATTGTATTGTAATTTGAACCATAAATTGTGTGATTTTTTAAATCAAATTTAATAAGACAATTTATTACACCAATTTACTGGCAGCGCTGCTTCATGAATTCTAGCTGTCAAAAAATGCAATCATTAATCGAAGAACTGAGGTATTGCAATCCTGTACAAATAATAATTATTATTATTTATCTTTATTAGGGAGGCTTTCAGCCTTGGGCTGGTTCGCCTCCATCCTGTACAAATAAGAAAATGCCTCGTTTGTGCAAAAAAAGAAGAGCGGCCGGGAGGAACGAAAAAAATTTAAATGTTCCGAAACCAGTACCTATCCGAGGGGGGCGACACATCTAAATCTCAAGTTTAGATGCTCAACCAATCTCACACTAGCGAATCAATCTTCGAAAAATCTTCTTTCATTTGTCGCATCTACTTGCATCGCGCATCATCTTTTTGCAGGAAATCTTCTGAATCGTCATCAATCTTCTTTCTATCTACTCAGCGTGCGTGCAGCTAGCCACAGCAAAACACAATCTTTTCTGCATCGTAGATAGAGTCGTCCCCCTCGTACCTATCAGACCCCGGAGGATTCGGAATATGGTCAGCCGAGCAAGGCTTGTGCTTCAAGAACGGATATCGTCGAGGGATTCCTGCCTGATGGTGAGTTTCCTAAGAAGTAATCGTTCTGTTGTCGGTCTGGTGATCCGTCTATTGAATGATAATCATGGATTAAAAATGGGTCGAACAAAAATGTTCATCGACACGTGTCATAGCTATTTGTGTTGTGCTCCGGATGGTAATATTGTTTTCTTTGCATTTATTTTTAAATAAAACAACTTTCTATTTTACAGCTGCATCTGATCTATGATCTTCTAGCGATGAAAAAAGACACAAGAGCTACGATTAAAGACATCTATGATTCTTCTAGTGATGAAAAAAGACACAAGAGCTACGATTAAAGACATCTATTATTCTTCTAGTGATGAAAAAAGACACAAGAGCTACGATTAAAGACATTGCGACGAAAGCCGGCAACACTCTTGGTTGCAAGCTACGAAATGCAAGCAAGCAGCCATGCATACGTGCAAGGTGTTCAAGTGTGTAATGGTTTTTATTAACGCTAAGAACCATATCGATTATTTGCTCAAAATTATCGAGCATGATGCTGGTTTCTTCGAAGCTACACACTTAGAAAATAATCCCGAACTCGGTTTAATTTTCTACCGAACCTCTTCGGTTACCAACGAGAAACCGAATAAATGGTTTAAAAACCATCGTTTATCGAAGCAGACCCGAATTTCGGTAAAAGAGTATAAATTTGACAGATAGAAATGAAGAGTAAACCGAAAAGTACGGTAAAGTATCGATATTTACGAATTCGCTACGCGAAAACCAAGAAACTCGGTAAACTGATCCGAATATTCACTAAAACGTATTAAACGTCAAACGTTCAACTTGCGCTCAACTTCGCGACGGAAATTTTAACCGAAAACTCGGTTCTCTAAGCTGAGTCTAAAATTAGTCAGCCATTTTTTCTCGCGGGTGCCCATCGGACGTGTGCAAAACTTTAGTAAAAATGGAAAAAATTCTGGAGCAGCTGTAACAGGAGGATGCACGTTTGATTGAAATCTTTTGTAAGTATTTGAAACTATGATTGTATGATTTTATTTGCAGCCATCTTTTGCTATAGTTTGTCTCTACTGCCATGAAAATGTACAAGGTTATGTATCTGGCTTGCAAAGGCATTTAAAAACCATTTGAATAAGAATGACTTCGAAGTCAGTGATATTTTTTTTGACTGTACTTTTCCATGCAGTAACTCGCGTTACGGGAGTTTTTATTCTCCAAAACAAATTAAATAAATATATTTCATACATTTCTTTGACAAAACTGAACGAAGCAACGCATCCTTAATCAAAATTTAAAGTGGGATTTGAAGTGAAAACCGAGCGCTGCCCAAGAGAACCGAATTCCGTAATTACAACAGGTGGGTCGGTTTGTTTGACAGCGTTTGGTAATTCTCGAGTAAACCGATTTTCGGTTATTTCTGCTTGAATTTATTTTTCGTCAACCGAGATTTTCGGTAACATTGACAGATTGTGGGTAACAATAAGAACTAACGACAGCTCGGTTATTCCTCTTTGAACCGAACAGACTACCGAGCGTTCAGCAGATAAAAACTCGGTTGAAATCAAACCGAGTTCGGTAATATTTTCTAAGTGTGTAGTATTGATTATAAACTCTCAACTTTCTTCGAAAATCATCTAGCACAGAACGTATATGAAAGAAATCTTCCTGTGAAGAAATAGTTCGGTAAATCAATTAATTCAATTTTCAAATGGAAGGAAACAATTAAACTTCTTTTTTTTTTAAACTCTTTTCATTTGCTAATGCCAACTTCTGCTTTTTTACCTTTATTTTAATCATGAAATATATAAGAGAAGTAGCCAAAAGTATTTTAGGTAAATTGATCAAAAAGAAAAAAGTAAACATTGTTGATTGTACATCAAATAAATGGTATTATTTGTGAGTTCGAGAAACTCTCACTAACACTAACGCTGTATGTGAGAGCAGAGATTGCACTATCACCATTACATGATATTGACAGGGATTCTTTCACCCTTCACCTCATCCCAAACTTTGGGTTATGTTCACGATCTTGGATGTCATAATCCATTAAAATTTTCGTAATTCTAGGACCTCAAACTAATTTTACATTCATGACAGACGTTGAAAAACTACTCAGAATTATGTTTAATGTTTATGGCTGAGGAGCATGCTCGAACGATAACACAAATGATAGAACCATTCAGCAAAATAACCATACAAATTTTATTAGGGTTTTAAATTTTAGTTGGTTAGTAGTTTTAGTTAGTTGTCATTGTTTAGTGTATTCCTAATAGTTTATGGATATTTAAATTGAACATTCAATTTTTTTTTCTATGGCATGAATTTGACATCCTTTCGTAGATGACCAAATGTCGTGGCGCGGCTTCAAAACAGGGATTTCTGTAAAAACCCTGAATTAATTATTATTTAAGGGTACATCATCCGCAAGCCCCTACTGTATAATATCGACAAACATATCGATGGCTGCCGCACGCGCACACTGATATATAACCCACCGTACTGGACACCAATCTCATCACCACCACACCAGAACCTAGCACAACATAAAACCACCCAGTGCTATGCTGCCGAGAGAGTCGACATCCAACGTCGACCACCTTGCACAAAATTTGGTAATGAAAGCTTCCCAACTAGTTCGTAACGAACGGGGGCTAGTATGTGTGCATTCATGCATTAGCAGAGCAGGCTGTCGACCACCGACCGCCACCGAGTGCGATGATGGCTGGATATGCTTTTGTTTACTTTGCTTTTGGAACGGAGAAGTGATGACGATGCTGGTGGTGGTGTTGTTCCCTGAATCGTTGAAGGTGCCGATCGTGCATTTTCCTGTGAATGCACTACCACTATGTTAGTTCCATTGGGCCATTCGTTGATCCATTCCAAACGGGACAAAGTGGTCGAATGGCAACCTCCATGATTGATCCTGAATATGATATTATGCTTTGAAAATTAAACTTTGTTCCGAAAAAAAATCTAACGAGATTTAAATTTAAATGGGTTATTTTTTTAAAATTATGATATAATATAAATCAGGCATGATCTACATAATCATTGGGATCCCACGGCAAGCCGCGAGGGAGCTCATCAATTATTCCAGACACGTCCAGCACGAAGGTCTGCTCGGTCCATAGTGATTCAGAAATTTATGGAAAGGCAGAAAAATGCGCAAATGGATGGATTGAAAAGAGGAAACTTGCTTTAGAGAGCCCTTGCAGGCTACCTACATGCAAGCATGCATGCATGTGGTTATGGTGAGACTCTGGCACTAACAGGACACGCAACCGTCGTCGGTTCGGTCGCCGATATGTAGAAACAAAAAAAAACGTTCAACCACTTTGCACTCACACAGAACCGCGCAGAGCAACATGTTTTATGTGTGCAGTACTTCGTCTGTGGAAGCGCAAACCCGAACAGATAGGTGCGCGCGATACAGAGACACTGCGACGAGAGGTCCAAAAACTGGTTCTGGACTGGAACGAGGGGTCCCCTAATGTGTAGGCTATGTTGGTACATTTTTCAAACTGACGAGTTTTCATGATTGATAAGTAGAATTATGCTGAGCAAAATTTAGCGAATATTCCAATCCTAAACAAGAATCATCCAAGCACCCCTCGCCATTCCAAACTGGTTTGTCGCCATGACCGCGCTGTCTCGCTCGCTCTAGAGCCTTCTTTGTTCCGATCTCTCTCGATCGTAAAAATTTTCGTTGATCGCAACTAGATCCTGCAACTTTTCCCACGTTCAAACTGCTATACTTTCCACGGAAAGCGTCCGGAATTCGCCCATAAATCGATCCCTTATCTCAAATCAGGTTCTAATTCTTTGATTTTTACAGATCTCCGGAACAAACCCATTGAAAACCACGCCATCCAACGGTGGCCAGGCGCGTAGCAATACGGCAGCAGCCATTTTGCATTTTCCAGCCGAGCGCAGCCGTCCCTTTCTGGCGCACATATACAAGTTCGTGTTCGCCCGATGTGCGGATATCTTTCACCGAACCCCGACGGTCGACGAAGAGCAAGGCAACTTGGGTGTTTGTGTGTTCTAGGAAAACAAGTCCTGCTCAAAGTGTATCGAGACGCGAGTGTGAATGCACATGCTCCGTGCGCTCAGTGGTTCGAAGATTTTTTTTTATGGAGTGTTCCGTTAAGAAACATAGAATAGGAGAGGAAGCTCAAGGGGTGTACGATCGGTAGTAGCAGCATTTCACCGATGAGGAACCTCGCAATCTTCGAGGGATTCGGATTGTGGTGATTTTAAGGTGAAGAAGAATCTTGAAAGTGCAAAAAATCAAGAAAGTGAGCGCTACAGCAAGGAGCAACGCATGCATAGTGTGAAGGGGGAGGATTTTATGGATGTGCATCTAGAAAAGATAGTAGTAGCCCGTTTTGGCATAGTGTGAATTCCCGGAAGTCCTGTGGGGACTCTGCACAGTATATTGTATGGTGGAAGCAATGGGTGAATGAGTGAAACCAGATCAATGATGGCCGAAGAAGATTCGTTGGCAGAATTTTTATGTGCATGAAAAAGGAAAGGTGCGCGCGGTGATCGTAGAAGAAATAGATCAACAATCCAGCTCATGCTCCAGGGGCCGAATTTCAACAATGCGTGTCAATCGAGTGGTTGGGCCTTGGAAGACCCTGGAAGAATCGTGGTGACCTCAGCGGTGAAGAAAGGAGTCAACAGTGAGTGAGAAAACGAATTGGATGATCGAGAAGAAGTTAGATAAGTGTTAAAACTAGTGCGCGTAAACCGGAAGAACAAAATTGTGAAGCGGGTTGGACCGGAACCTACCCGCGCCTGAAAGGATTTACATATCATATCAACCGGAGCAGAAACTCCCCGAGTGTTCGAGAGATCGTTTCAACAATCTGGAACTATGTGGTTAACGACGACCACCCGCAGGAGGTCGTCCGTCGGCCATTACGGCGCTCCTGGCCTACTATCGTCAAATACTCGGATTACTCTACTCGTCATCGGATTGTTCCTAGCCGTATGCATTGATTCCGCTTCCGGTGAGTACGATTTTCCGATCAGAAAATTTCAAGATTTATCCTGGGCATTCCAACCGACGACTGTGGCCGTCATTGTTGCCACCACCAACACAAACAAAACCGCGCAAGGATATTCCGCACCAATACCGGTGCACGCGTCCGAACATGGAAAGGACCAAAGCAAACAGACAGCGATAATCGGGTTCGTTGCTTTCTCAGGATCACACATTTTTGCGCGCCGCACACCTGCAGTAGATCACACAGCCAAATCTGTCTTTCTCGTCCTTTCGAGTTGTTTGTGATGAGCTTCGAATGTAATTTGGGACTTTCTTTTCATTTTTTGTTTGTGCCGTGTCCTCATTTATCGTTGCATCCATCTGGATGAGGAGATCGGTGTTTTGTTGTAATTTGAATACATCGTCCTACAGCGACGATGACGAAGGCGACGCGACAGCCCTCTTTGTTATGGCAAAGGTAGGTACTTATCCATATGGGAAGGATAATGCACTGCCGGCGGAGTTTGATCGCACCAATACTGTTGCATAATATTAGGGTTTTTTTTTCTGCGTCCCGGTGGGGTGCATCAAGAGGACCAACTGTCGGTTTTCTTGAAGGTGTTTACGCAGTAGGAGAATGCGTTTGCAGCACTGGAAATGGGATTAATTTTCCATAAGCCTTATGAATCTGTTTAGCATCTGCTGGTTACAGATTTGAATGTTTTGTATTCTGGATTTTTGAAAACGTGTTTGATTTTAATTTTTTGTTATCTGCTAATTGAACATTTCGTGGATGGAATGTGGTCGACTATTCCCACTCAACCAAAGCGTGTAATATTTCAATACAGTTCTCCCCAACTCGATGCAAATCAAGGCTACTTTGGCCACTTTTCCCATGCTAAGGAAAATCTCCGATTAATCCATAAATTGAATCGATATTTAATTGGTATTTAATATCTAAATGGTGTCTTAGGCTATTGGCAAGATATTACCATTGATAGGCTTAACAAAAATTTGCTAAATTCTTGTTAAGTTTTGTAATTTGAACTTCTGTTCAATTTTTAAACTGCCGTATATTAATCTGTCATCTTCAGAACTTTCTCTAACTAATAAATTCATAACTCTGAATTCAACAATTTTCTTAGTTTTCTCAATAATTTTCTCTCTTGAAAAGTTTCTTTTGGAAATTTGTGCATGGAATATTCATAAGAATTCTCCTGAAGTTCATCTGGGGTCCAAACAGAATTGTCATTGAAATTCAACGTAGCATTCTGCCAAAGTTCAATGTTGAGATTTTTGTCAAGATTTGTCAAGTATTCTCCTAGCAATTTCATAGTAATTCTCTTATAAATTCCCTCTTAGAATCTCAGAACTCCAGACCGTTTTCCCAAGGGTCAAAAGTTATTCGAAAGTAACTGTTTCAAAAGTAACAGTCATGCTCTTTTAGACATTGATCTTGTAAAACCTCGACAGAACTTGTAGTGTTACCGGGATATTGTTATCACATTCAGCTGTTTCAACCAAACCGGGAAAACTGTGTCAGACAACCGGAAATTTAAATTCGTTATGCCATACGGACTTATGTCCATACATCAGTTAAAACTTCATGCTCGAGCTTTGGATCTATGTACATTAAGCTGGGTTTAGACAGGGCAAGTCAATTGATCAACTCAGTTGAATTCAATTGGCTTGAAAAGTTGAGCCTGGTTCAACTTTTTTTCAATTCAAGTGAGTTGCGTTCAAGTCAGTTGAATTCAACTGAGTTGATCATTTGACTTGCCTAGTCTAAACCCAGCTTTACCGATGTGATTTTTAAAATGCATTCAACTGAGGCATCTGGAACATTTTCAGTTGATCCAATCGAAGTCTTAAGCACTTCCAAAAGCCGAAAATAATTCAATTTTGTGAAATCAAACTCGAGCGTCTAGACGGATGAATGCCCAGGAACACATTGCACGTTTCTTGGACTTGGACCAAACCCCATAATGACACCTCAAATCGCATGAGAATTCACAATCAAGTTCACAAGACCATATTGGTCACATCCAAACATGTTCGGAGTGCCTCCGGGGAAGTGCTCTGTTTCCAACTTGGACCTAAACGCGACCATGCGAAACCTAAAATCACGTGAGAATTCAAAAACCAGTTCAATGGTAGCGTCAGCGTGAACAAGGATGTCAAACTCGGATAAGATTACTCTTACACGCTAGTGAATGGCAGTCATATTGAGTTTCTACATCTGGACATGTTCCAGGTGTTCCTGGAAACTCCTCAATTCCGGCGGTTATATTGACCACATTGGCCATAACCGGCCATGGCTTGGGAGCCCCTGAGGAAGGTTAGGTTTTAACCAAAACTTACCATGTGCCATATCAAATCTCATTAAGTTAGATAGCGAAAGCATATTCACTACCCGTCGATAAGTATGGACTCATATGGAAAAGTATTGCAACACTCATTTGAATATTGCATCACCCCCCAAAAAGTTTAGCATCACCATAAAATTTTTGAAATAGCTGAAAAACGTTCAGAATGCGCTTGGGGAACATATAATTTGCGTCTTTGGAACTTGGAAAAGTACTGATTCACTTCAGAAAAGTTCTATATCACTTCGGAAAGTTCTAGATCACTTAAGAAATGTTCTGAATCACTTCATAGAAAAAATCTAAATCACTACTAAAAACCCAGAACTACTAAACATCTCAAAAACGTTCGGAATCACTTTATGAAGAAATTATTCACATCAGAACAGTTCTAAATCACTTCAGAAAGAACTGATTCCGAGATTTTCAGAAGTGTTTCAGTGCTTTCCGATGAGCTTTCGAACCTATTTTTAAATGATTCTGGGCTTCCCGATGTGATTTAGATTTTGTTAATCTACGGGTGATTAAATATTTGCTGAAGAGCTTCCAATCTTTTCTGAGGTGATTTAGAATTACAAAGAATTACGAAGCGATTCTGAATTTTTCTGAAGTGATTCAGTACTATTCAAAGTTATTCCAAGCTTTTGTAAATTGGTTCAGTTTTTATGAAGGTTATTTCAAGCTTTCTGAAATTTTCGGAAGTGATTCTATATCATCCAAAAAGATTCCGAGCTTTTCTGGTATGATTCAGTACTTTCTGAAATTAATTCAAACTTTTCTAAAGTGACTCAGTTTTTTTCTGAAGTGATTCAGTACTTTCGGAAGTGATTACAAACATTCTGGAGTTATTCAGTATCATCCAGAATGATTTTACAAACTTTTAAGAAGTGATTCAGTACTTAGCAAACATTCTTAAAGTATTCCAGTATTTTTCGAATATTTCTAAAGTGATTCAGTGCATTCCTAAGTGTTAACATTATTTTCGAGTTCTTGCGGAAGTGATTACAAACTTTCTGGAATGATTCAGTACTTTCCAAAGTGAATTTCAAATTTTCTGAAGTTATTCACTACTATCCGAAGTGATTCCGAGCTTTTCGTTCGTGATTCTAAACTGATTCGGTACTTTCAAAAGTGAATACAAACTTTCCGCAATGATTCAGTACTTTCCTAAGTGATTCCGAATTTACCCCGGAATCTACTTTTCTGAAGTGATTCCAAATTTTTCAAAAATGATTCAGTTCATTTCAAAGTGATTTTGTACTTGCGGAAGTGATACCAAATTTTTCTGGAATGATTCAGTACTTTCCGAAATGCATCCAAAATTTTCTGAAATCTGTAAGTACTTTCCAAAGTAGTTCCTAACTCTGAACGAAATGGTTCAGTACTCTCCAAAGTGACTTTAAACATTTATAAAATGTTTCAGTACTTTCGGAAGTGATTCCAAACTTTTCTAAGTCGTTTCATTACTTTCAGATGTGATTCAGTGCTTTCTGAAGTGATTCAAAACATTTCTGAAGTGTTTCAGTACTTTCCGAAATGTATCCAAAATTTTCAGGAGTCTTACAGTACTTTCCAAAGTAATTTTTAACTATTCCGAAGTGATTCAGTACTCTCCTTTAAACATTTTTAAAGGTATTCTGTACTTTCTGAAGTGATACCAAACTTTTCTGAATCGTTTCAGTACTTTCAGCAGTGATTCCGATCATTGCTAAAGTGATGCAATATATTCCGAAGTAATTCAGTACATTCTGAAGTGATTCAAAACACTTCTGAAGTGTTTCAGTACTTTACAAAGTGCTTTACGTAATGAATACAAAATTTTCTGAAGTGTTTCACTACTTTCCAAAGTAATTCCAAACTCTTCCGACATGATTCAGTACTCTTCTAAGTGACTTTGAACAATTCTAAAGTGGTTCAGTACTTTCGGAAGTTAATTCAAACTTTTCTGAACCGTTTCAGTACTTTCGGAAGTGATTCTAAACTTTTCTGAATGGAGTTTCAGTGCTTTCTGAAGTGTTTCAAAACACTTCTGAAATGTTTCAGTACTTTCCAAAGTGATTGAAAACATTTACCAAAGTGAGTCCAATTTTTTCTTAAGTGATTCAGTACTTTCTGAAGTAGTTAAATTCTTTTCAAGTCCTTGCGGAAGTGATTATAAACTTTTTGAAATAATTCAGTATTTTACAAAGAGAGTTTGAAATTTTCTGAAGTTATTTAGAGCTTTTCTGAAGTGATTCCAAACATTTAAGAAGTAATTCAGAACTTTCTGAAGTGATCTCAAACTTTGTGTAAGTGGTTCAATTCTTTCCAAAGTGATTCGGTACTTGCGAAAGAGATTATAAACTTTCCGCAATGATTCAGTACTTTCTTAAGCGGTTCAGATTTTTTCCTGAAGAGATTTCGCACTTTTCTGAAGTGATTCATTACTTTGGGAAGTGATTCCAAACTTTTCTAAAATGATTCAGTTCTTTTCGATGTGAGTTAGTACATACGAAAGTAATTACAAACCGTTCTGGAATGATTCAGTACTTTCCAAAATGCATCCAAAATTTTCTGAAGTCTTTCACTTTTTCCAAAGTAATTCCTAACTCTTCTGTTGTGATTCAGTACTCTCCTAAGTGACTTTGAACAATTCTAAAGTGGTTCAGTACTTTCGGAAGTG